TTTTTCAGAACGAAGCAGCCTGGGAGATGGCTCAGTGGTTAAGAGCATTGGCTGCTCTTCCAGAGGTCCTGGGATCACTTCCCAGCAACCACATGGCAGCTCAGAAGTGTTTGTACCTCCAAGCAGCAATGCACATAAAAGGAGGAGCAGGAGGAGGAGAAAGAGAAAGAGGAGGAGCAAGAACAAGCAATTTAAGAACAAAAATGAAAGCAAAGTATCTGATGAGCAACGTGAGACCTCCTAAGCATTTCCGCTGCTTCTGTCAGACACACAGTAAGGCTTTAGTTTCTCAAATACAATGCCAAATGCCCAGCAGTTATTTTTATTTAGTTTAAAAAAATTACATCATTACCCACTCCTCCCTCCCATCCTTCCCATGTCCTTACTATGGATACTCTCCCAAATTCACTGCCTTATCCTTTTTCAACTATATCCATTACATATAAACAAATAAACATGAAGAAACATCCTGTTGAGTCTGTTCAGCAGAGTGTGCCTAGAGCTGACCATTGTATCACACAGCCAGTCAGGTGCCAATAGCTTTAGTTTGCCCTCTCTTATCTTTGTAATTAAAAGAAAAAGAAAGCATTACTTTTTAATTATTTAAATATGTTAATTTTCTTGATATTGTTGATTGGAAACTTTGGCATCTCATGCCCAGGAGTAGCTGATCAAGCAAAATGAACTTCATGGTTTTGTTTTGTTGTGGGCTTTTTGTTCCATTTTGGCCTTTTTTTTCTTACTTATTTTGTGTTTGTTTGTTGTATTTTGTGTGTGTGTTCTTTTTAAAGAGAAAAAGAAAGAACATCAAGTTGTGTGGGTATGGAGGTGGGGAGAAACTGGGAGCGATGGAGAAGGGTAAAACATGATCAAAATATATTGAATGAAAAATATTTTAAAGAGAAAACAGATAAAGGAAGGAAGAAAGGAGGGAAAGAAAGGAACTTGGGATCTATTTAACTGTTTTTAAAGACTCAGTGTGGCACTACACAATTAAGATTATGATATGTGGATATTTTTGCTTATCTGTAGTGGTAGATACCACAAATAGCATTTTTCTCACCAAATTTTATTAGTGTTTGTTATTTAATGTGTCCCAAGACTATTCTTTTTATTAAACTCTTTTATTAAATTTATTCATTTTTATTTTAAAAGAATTTATTCACTTTTATTTTATGTTTATGAATGTTTTGCCTGTATGTATGTTCAGCATGTGTGTGCTTCATGCCCATGGAGGCCAGAAGAAGGCAGTATATGTCGTGGAACTGGATATAGAGAATGCTGTGAGCTGCCATGTGTGTGCTGGGAATCAAACCCAAGTCCTCTGCTAGAACAAGTGTTCTTAATTGCTGAAACATCTCTCCAGTCCTTCAACACAATTGTGACTCATGGTACATGACCTAGAGAAGACAAAAGATTGGGCATTCCCCATCTAAGATTTTAAGTGAATTTTGTTCATTTGCACCTTTTTATTGAAAAACATTTTCATACAATATATTTTAAGCTTGTTTCCCCTTCCCCAAATGCTCCCAGATCCTCCCCACCTTAACTCCCTAGCCACCCAACTTCATGTTTTCTCTCTTCTCCTCTCTCTGTCTCCCTCTTACTCTGTATCTCTCACTCTCTCTCTCCCCCTCATTCTCTTGCTCTCTCTTTAAAGGAAACCATTAACAAGAAACACACACATACACAAAAACAAAAACGAAATCAAAATTAACACACAAAGAACAAATAAGGGGGGAAAAAAAGCCCAAACAAAGCAAAATGAAACAAAAAGTCTACAAAAATATCATTGAGTTCGTTTCTGCATTTGCTAACTATGGCTGGGCATGAGGCCTTCCTTGAAGAGTGATTAATATACCCAGGAAAGATTTACTGGAGAAAACTGATTCTTTTTCCTTTGCCAGAAGATATCAATTGCAGATAAATTCTTGGCTCTGTGTGGGAGCCTGTGTCTAGTTCCCCCTCTCAGAGCTAGGGCCCACCTGGCTTGAACCTGTGCAAGGCTTGTGCACGCTCTTACAGTCTCTGTGCCTTCGGCCCTGTTCTTTCTGGAAGACACTGGTTGCTTGGAGTCATTCATCACCTCTGGTTCTTACAGTACGTCTGCCTCCTCTTCCACATAGCTCCCTGAGTACTGGGGGAGACATTTCATGGAGACATTCCATTTAGGATCTAGCACCTCCAGTCTTGTGTTTCTGGGTAAGTTCCCATCTAGTGAAGGAGGAGGAGGATGTGTGTTGAGTGAGGTGTAGATTTCTGGGTATAGCAATATACCATGAGTCATTTTATTACTTTGTTCCTTTAGCATAATTATAGTATTAGATTTTCCCCTAGAGTCAGGTTCTTAGCCATTTTAGCAATGTCAGGTATGTATTTCGTCTCCTGGAATGAGCCTTAAATCCAATCAGAAAGTGAGTAATTGGTCCAATAATGTCGGTGCTACTATTGTATGCCTCACAGGCATGTCAGTGTTCTAGGTCACAGCTTTGTAGCTGGGAGGTGCTGATGATGGCCTTTCTCCTCCTGCAGCCTTCAGACTACCTTGCAGTAGCGTAAACTCTGGTCATTAAGGCCAGAGCTTCTAGTCAGGTGCCAGCTCAACACCTCCATGTTGGATGAGTTTTCTGTCAGGTTGAGGAGAGAGGTTTCCATGGAGCCCATCTGGCTAACAACACAGGAAGATGTAACCTGTTCCTGGCTCTGAGGGGACTTCCCTGGTGGTATGTTAAGTTAGGGTACTGGCTGCCCCGTTATTTGGTGGTTCCATTTCCATTCCTCTCACATGTGTATATACTTTAGGAAGCTTCCACAGTAGCAGGTTTCCGTGTGGTTTTTCACATGGCCTTTGGTATCACCTCTCCCTAGATTCCCTCCATTACTCTTCCCATTTAAAGTTTATAGTTTCCTCTTCCTCTCTCTATGATGTTTTGTTTCTCCCTCATGCCACCTCTCCCGTCAAGTTAATGTCACTGGAACGACACTTCAGTTGTCGCTGAGCACCAGAGCTACTCCCTGGTTAGGTATTTGTAGAACATGCTGGGTGTGTGGTTTTGACCCAGGGTTTTTCATGAGTATACTGGGCTAAGGAGACTAGGAACGCTGCCAGTGGGATGAGAATGTACCTTACATCGATGGCGTTAACCTTTAATTATCTGTTTACAGTGATGTCTCCCAGGTTTTTACAATGCAAGTTGGTTTTTGTTTGTTTGTTTTTTGAAGCTGAAAATAAATCAGACAGGAAGAGTTTATGAAAATCCAGTTTCCTATGCATAGGAAAGCAGTAGTGTAAAGTGGATCAAGATTCATATTAAACTCAGCTCAACAAGACATGACCTACATGACAATATAACAGCTACACGTGTCATTGAACATGGAGAGGTTGAGCTGGTGCCCATCTAGCTCCACCGTAAAGACTGTGAGAGGTCGTGGTGCTGAAAGATAGTCTGCAGGCTGCAGGAGGAGAAAGGCGGTCAGCGTCTCCCAGCTACAAACCTGGGAGGCTCTGTGGGGCGAGGCCCAGGAAAGAACTCCCTGCCATGACTCTAGACACTGAAGACAGGAACCACTGGGGCTTATCCAGGCTGAAAGGGCAGGGTCCCTGTCTGGGGAGTGCTGGGCTTCCCTTCCAGCGTGCGGGCCACCCCTCTCTCCAGAGCCTGGGCCTCCCTCTTCTCCAGCACTTGCGCCAGGCGCGCCTCTCTCCATTCAAGCATGCTGGCCTGTATTCCTGTACTCTCCCTGCACTTCCAAGGTTGCTCCTCACAGCTGAGCTGCGCACGTTCTACGTTCTACAGTCTTAATAGCAGGCAAACATCGGAACACGACTTAAAACAGTCTAGCATGAGCTGGATACCTGTCCTATTGCAAAAGTTAAAAAAAAAAAAAAAAAAGAGAGAAGAAGCCAAACCAGTATTTAACAAATGTTACCGTGAAGAAGCACATTTATTATCCTAAAGACATTTAAATTAACCTACGATCACTAAAATATATTTTATTATAAACATCTTTTTGTTTTTTAGTTTAGCATTTAACTCAGGGGCTGTGTTCTGTTTTTCTTCAGTTTTCCACGTGCCCTTAATTTTTTTTGCGCAGTTAAAATCCTGCCATAGTGAAGATACACCTGTCCCTGTACTGGAGGAAAGCGCGTGTGTAAATTCGTTCAGCAGTGCTTGTTTGTTTAAGTAGTGCCTGTTCCTGGCTTCTTTTGTTTTCTGTAGGAAAAGTAGTCGACATTCAAAACAAGGTACGTGCCACAGACAGTGAAAATCAAAGGAAAAGGAGAGTGATTCTCTAGCTGCCTAGGAGAAAACTTCCCAGAATTTCTGTGTACTCTCCAACATCAGGGTAGATCTACTCCTTTCCATCCCGGGACTGGGAGACCCCACCACCACGACGGCGCCTGTCTCGGCCAAGTTTCTTTTCCGGAGGTCAAAGGCAATTTTCCTCCTAAGCGCCTACCCCTCCTCTGGCTTCTCCCAGCTGCCTGACGCCATGTGACAGCCCCTAACACCTGTACAGCCACCAGCGCACAGCGCCCCCATCCTCCTCGCCAGGTAGCAACCAGGCCAGGCTCGGTCTTCCTCCCGAGGTCACGGTCTCGGAGCTAGCCGGGCTCGGCCGACAGGGGAGGGGCTGAGCCTGGGCCAGAGCCGCAGCCGGAGCCCTTGCAGCCTGATTATCACATGACTCGACGGCGGTAGCCGTGGCAGCAGGAGCGGCGGGTCCGCGGGCTCGCGGGGTGGGCTCGGCTCCGCGCACGCCAAGGCGCCCGCTGCAGCCGCCGGCCGCCCCCGGGGCTCGCGCCGTGTCTTCCGAGCCGCCCGCCCGCTCCATGTCGCCCGGTTGCGGAAGTGTCGCCGGGAGAGGTGGCGGCGGCGGCGCCAGGGAGCAGGGGAGGCCGGGGCTCGGCCCCCTGCAGCACTGAGCTCCGGGAGCCGCGCGCCCCAGCGGCCCGGCGGCCCGTGCGCCCCGCGCCCGCCGCAGCCTGCATGCCCCGCGCTGCGCCTCGGCCCGGCCGCCGCCTCCTGCTCGCTCCGCGGCTGCCCGGCGCCGGGGTAATATGCTCACTCGGGTGAAATCTGCCGTGGCCAATTTCATGGGCGGCATCATGGCTGGCAGCTCCGGCTCCGAGCACGGCGGCGGCGGCGGCGGCGGAGGCTCGGACCTGCCCCTGCGCTTCCCGTACGGGCGGCCGGAGTTCCTCGGGCTGTCTCAGGACGAGGTGGAGTGCAGCGCAGACCACATCGCCCGTCCCATCCTCATCCTCAAGGAGACCCGGCGGCTGCCCTGGGCCACCGGCTACGCAGAGTGAGTGCGCCGGCGCCCCGCTCTCCCAGCGGCCCTTCCCCGCACCGTTCCGGCCCCTGTCGCTCCCGGCTTCGGGGCTGCCCACCGGCTCTGGCCTCCAGGCCTTGGCCTGCGGAAACCTCTCCACTGAACACTGTCCAGTTCCTCTTTCCCCTCTTCCCACAAAACCCCGGGCATGGGCTTTCGGGCCACGCAGTGGGTGGCAGAGGGCACGGCAGCGGCGCAGGACCGTGGGAACGCTGAGCTTGGACCGGTCTGATAGCGAGGGGTCTGCGACACTTTGGGGGAGAAAAGTGGGTAAAACAGCTCTGCTGAAGTTGCAACACAGTAGGAACACCTGGTATCGGTGTACAACCCCCCCCCCCATCTTTGTGCCCCCGCGTGGACAGTTTGGAGAGGAAGATGCTTGCGGGATGAGTCCCGGCTTGGTGCGCGTGACTGTGTGTTCGGAAAGGTCTTTCTCGGGAGCTCATTGGGCTATAAGCAGGTAGTGGACGCTGCGCGACCAGGGACTGCCACAGTCCTTGGCGGAGATAGAAAACTTACTCCAGGTGTCGAATGCAGCATTTTAGTAATCAGCTTTTGCGATTACGCGAGCTCCGGAGTGATTTGCTATTTTAAAAACCGACTGAGTTAGGCTAACGGCCGGGCGTGGAGCGGCGTTTCATTGCCCTTCCCCTGCTTTGCGGCCGTTGACTATGGATAATCATCGTGTGAACGATGGGATAAGTAATGTTTTCTCCCACTTTTTTTTTTTTTTTTTACTGTGTACCTTTGTGGAACCTGAAGACTAAGAAGGAAGAGGGAATGTAGACCTAATCCCTAGGTTAGCGACCGTGGGTCCAAGATCACCCCGAGCCCTGGTGTCTGGCTTACCTGCCCCTTTCCCTTTACACCCTCTCTGCAATCTTAGCCACCCCCAACCTAAGCGAGGCTTCTCTCTTTCTCTCTGATTGGCTCACCCAAGAGCCAATGAAATTCCCCTATGCTTGGGCGCCCTGGCTGACCCGGTTCTGGCGGCCCAGATCCCCCTGGCAGGCGTGGTTCAGTAAGGAGCCGGGTTCCGGTGCAGGAAGTAGGTGGCTAGGAAATCGGGACGCCTGTAATCTTGAGTTCTCTTCCCTCCCGCGTCATCCTGTGATCGTGACTCCACGAGCTTGTGTACAAACGGGGATGGATGACTGGCATGTTAGGAGAGGAGCGCGAGGATTGGGTGTGTGGAGTGGGCGGGTGGGTGTATGACTCGGGCAGACGAGCGTGAAAGAGGTGCAGGAGGAACAGAACAGCCAGCAAACCTCCAGCAGGAAGCCTGTGTGAGGAAACCTCAGGGAGGGGAGACGAGGCTGCTAATTCATGCCGGCAGTTCCTTGCCTGAGAAAGGTGTCCGGCTCTTTTCCCTGCTAAGAGCCTGTGTTGTGGGGGTTTGGTAGGGCATGGCCCCCTGAGGATCTGGGAGGTGCGCTGGGAAACGGTAAGGTTGCAGAGGTAGGAAGTTAGCAACACCCTCCCACCCCCCGCCGCCGCCAGCACAATGAAGGGGAAACCTCACAAAAGGATGAGGAAAAGGAAAAGAAAGAATTTTTCATTGAAAAGTAGGAAAGACAAGTTGGATGGTTCTACTTTTTATTTCCTCCCGCTAAGCCCATTCCCCACATTGCATACGAAGATCCTCCTCCCATCTCGACCCCTGCCCCAGCAGCTCAATGTTTGGCATGCGTGCTTTTCCAGATGTGTTTGGATGTACCTATGAGCACGTCTGTATTCTTCCCCAAACAGGCTCCTAGTCGGTGTTATTCTGTAGCATTTTCATAAAACACCGTATCGGGGCATTGTTCCAAGTCAGTGTGGTAGAATTACATTTTCCTCACTGCCCTCAATTTTAAACAGTTCTCAGTGTATATCCAAGACTACATGGAATACCTGTTTGCCCTTCTTCAGACCCCTGAGAAATCTCATTGTTGTCATATTAATAATGTTAATAGAATTCATGCTCAACGTTCTTTAGTATTTTCAAGTTCTGCTAGGCCATTTAAGTATCATAACGGTCTTCATAGATGAGAACAGAGGTATGAAATTGTTAAGCAACTGACCCATATTAATACAACTGTATCTGGACACAGAGGGTCCAATTCCAGGGCCCATGACACAGAAGTCTCCCTCTACAGTTTCAAATTACGATACATCCATCTGATCCAGGGTATATAATTAACAATGTAATAGTGCTAACTCTCCTCATGCCTGCTTGTACAAGACACTGTAATGTTCTGTTTTCAAACCTCAAACTGTCATTTTTCTTTTTAATTTTGGCAATGATAAAATTTATATATAAATATGGTAAAACTATTATAAAGAAAAGTTGTGGTTTTTTTCAAAGATGCATCCTGAGTGGTAAAAAATGGCTGAAACAGAAGGAAGAAGGAAGTGGGGAGATGAGCAAAGGTCACTTCCTGTTCCTAGAGGAGGAACTGGGAGATAGGATTCCTCTTTGTTCTAGAAGGTTGCTGAGAGGGATACAGTAGATGGGAAGATTGTTTAAATAGTGGAAATAAAAGAATGCCATTGGACCTGTTCTCTTAATTCTGTTTCTAACAAAGGTTTGACATTAGGCCTAGTGGTACAGGCTCTAATCACAGCTACTTGGGAGGCAGAGGCAGGAAGATCTCACCTATCCAGGAGGCTAAGGGAAGAGAATATATAACTAGTTACAGAAGTCTACTTGAGGTAGAGTGAGTTCAAGTCTACTTGAGGCTGGGCAACTTAGGGAAGCCATGTCTCGTAGCTAAAAAATAGAAAGAAAGCTAGAAATATGTATACCTACACACATAAACACATGCAAACACATACACATTTCAGGGGGAGAAGAAAGTGTCTGGTTGACATCACCAGGTGACAGGGATGCTGAAGAAAGGACTTTGAGCTGTAATGTTGACAGCCCAGCCTTTTGGATGGTGGAGATGGTCTGTTTTAAGAAGAGATAGTCTGTGTGTGGCTGAATCTGCAATAGCTGTCCTTGCAGTCTTGGGGTGCCAGGACTGAAGACCCTTCCTCCATTCTAACACTTACTAATGGGGTTTTCAGCTCCTTGAAGAGTTTCTTATTGTGGAGAAAATGTAACCACCAAATGAGCAGTTTTCAACCCTTAGGTCAATACCAAACACCCTGCCTGTCAGATGTTTATGATTAGTTATGAAGTAGCAATGAAAATAATTTTACGATTGGGGTCACCATGGGATGAGGGACTGTGTCAAAGGGTTGCAGCATTGCAAAGCTTGGGAAGCACCACACTAGACTGGGGCGTTTGCCAGGTTATGAAGCTCTCTAAAGCACTGCAGGAATAGACAGTGTGTTCTAAAAACATGCATTAGCAAGTTCTGTTTTGAAACTTGGCTTTGAAGTCACTGGCTTAGCCTGTGAGGTCTACCCAGAGAGTAACCAAGGGAAGCCACCATCTGACCCAGAGACGATGGGACAGCTACTTCCCTCCAGTTTAAATGCCACAAAGGTAGTCCCTGTGGTGCAGGCACCTGAGGTCGGCTGGTTGTTTTAATGGCTTAGAATATCTATCAAAAAACTTTTTTTTAAAACTGTCAAATTTTTCTACCATGAATCAGTGGCATACTCACATATGCAGGCAAGCATGGAGCTTGTGCCTTAAACTGCAACAAATGCCAAAGAATGAGCCAGTGTTTTTGAAAAACACAACTTGGTATATTTAAGTTTTACTAATGGAATTTTTCAATAATGATAATTGTATAATTTTTGCACATTTGTAACTGGATGTATTTTTATTACATATTTTCTAATAAAAGCATCCCTGGACATGGGCTAAAAAATAAAATGTCTTAAAACATTACTTTGAGAAACAAAGTTAATGCTCATTAACTTTGTTAAATGAGCATTAGGTATTCTTTGAGTCACATGGAGTTGTAATTTATAAACTTTTAGGTAAAAGAACATTAAAATAAATACCAACTCACAGGTGTTTGAATTTGTTTTAGAGTCTGTAGGCCATTCCATCTTTCAATCAAGGCCACTAGCTGCCAGCTGCCAACAAATAGCCATCTTTGAAATGAAATCAGGGACCACACTTACAGTTGTGTGTGTGGGGGGGGTTATTTGTTGTGGCTTTAGTCTTTAATGCATCTGGGCAATTTTGAATCTCAAAATTTAGATCACATGAGGGAAGCAAAGTATTTTTTTTTTTTTTTGCCACATAGTTTTGTGATTAGCTCTGTTCCCAAACGTCCAAGAATTTTGTACATAAGCACTATAAAGAAAAGAGCTCCGGACGAACTGTGTTGGATAGCATAGCATTTGCAGTCACCTCTGGATAGCCCGACTGATGGCTAGGGAGTTGAGTGAAAGCTGCCAAGCCAAGCTGACCTAGCAGGATTATTGCTAGAAACAGATTGTCTTTCAAAGGTGGGGCATGGAAGCTTGATCAGGTAGCAAGGCTGAGGAATGCCTCCTAAACTTCCTTCGCAGGATTCTTGCTAAGACCCCAGGGTGAGGGTGAAGGTGCTGGAAGAAGAGACCTCAGTTGGAGAAACAGTCTCAGAAAAGACCCCTGTGCCCTGATATATTTGGTCCTTGTGGAGCTCCTGTCCTCTCCAGATCATACTAACTCCTCCTTCTTTCATACCATTCCCTGCACTCTGCTGTAGGTTTGGTTATGAGTCTCAGCATCTGCTTTGATTGGATGTAGCCCATGGCAGCTCAGTATCCAAGTGGGTTCCCTAGTAAGGGGAACAGGGACTATTTCTGACATGAACTCAATGACTGGCTCTTTAACCTTTCCCCTTCCCCGCCCCACCATCAAGGGAAGAGCAGCCCTGCTAGGCCACAGAGGACTTTGCAGCCAGTCCTGATGATACCTGATAAGCTAGGGTCAGATGGAAAGTGGACTTGGAAAGGGGCAGAGGTGGGGATGAAGGAGAGAGGGTGAGATTAGGAGGGAATGAGAGAGGGGCCTACGGCTGGGATACAAAGTAAGTAACCTG